AATTTTACTTATGAAAATAAACACATGAAGAGGTAAAAACTCTGCTGACTGAGCAAAACATGTTTAAAGTATTTGGGTCCTCTTAAAACAGAATGCAAGATCAGTAATTTAAGGCATGTAAGAAACAATTTTCCTAGGTTCTTATTAGAATAAGGCTACCAAAGGAACAGTCTGTCTGACCTGATTTAGACATAAGAATCAGTAACAAGTGATACTCTGCTACTCTATGAACACAAAAACTTAGGCACAAAATACTGAATTATTATTACAAAGCCTCATTCCTTTTGAAGTTGTAAAAATGTGCAAAGAGAAGAAATCCAAAAACTATGAATAGTGAGGTGAACAGTGAGGTCCAAAAAATCCAGTCAGCCTTGTTCCATTTTAGATCATTATCCGGTAGATAATTAAGTCTACAGTAACAGAACAGAAAAGTAATGTTAAATATAGGTTCTTCATGAAGCCTCTGCACTAGTTTGAAACTTATTAAATGCCATTCACAGCAGTTTTAAAACCATTCCTATCCCCAGGTGTAGTGGGTGATGCCTGTAATCCAACCACTTTGGGAGGCCAAGCAGGGAGTATTGCTTGAGGCCAGGAGTTCCAGACCAGCCTAAGCAAGAGAGAGAGATCCCGTCTCTACAAATAATAAAAAAAATTAGCCACGTGTGGTGGCTCACACCTGTAGTCCCAGCTACTTGGGAGGCTTAGGTGGGAGGATAGTTCCAGCCCAAGAGCTTGAGGTTGAAGTGAGCTATGATGACACCATTGCATTCTAGCCTGGATGACAGAGACCCTGTCTCCAAAAAAAGAACAAATCCTACAATGCACGTTATTGATGTTTTAATTAAAATCTCCCAAATTGCCTGAGAACGAAAATCACATTCCTTTATAATTTAGAACCTTTTTGGTTTTTTGAGACAGAGTCTCACTCTGTTGTACAGGCAGGAAAGCAGTGGAGTGATCATAGCTCACTACAGCCTCAAACTCCTATTCAAGTGATCCTCCTGTCTCAGCCTCTTGAGTAAATGGGACTACAGGCGCACACCACCACACCTGGCTGATTTTTAAAATATTTTTGGTAGAGACGGGGTCTCATTGTTGCCTAGGTTGATCTCAAACTCAAGACCTCAAGTGATCCTCCAGCTTTGGCCTCCCAAAGTGTTAGGATTATAGGCGTCAGCCTCCACCCCATCCTGGATCCTTCTTGAATGACTTGTACATATATTATGCAAAAAACAGTTTTCCCATCTATTATGTAAATCAAGATTGTGAACATTCAAAAGACAAATGTCATCCTTTTAGAGAACAGACTGCCACATTTTAGACTATTTACTGTGTTTAATACTGCATTGGCTTCTACAAGAGTACTTTGTTAATTGCTTTCTATTCTAAAAGGTTTGATGATTATTCATATGAACCCCATATGAGGTTCAAATAGCTTATTTACCTAAAAATCACTGTTAACATTCCATCTCACTTGGCAGGGCAAACACCTGGCAACTTTTAAGCTCTCTATATCCCTTCTCCTTATTCCCAGACTCACTGGAAACGCTCCTGGGCTAAAAGCTTCACTGGCCAGGTATCCCCCTCATCAGACCTCGTCTCTTCCAAGGCTTCCTCCAGATTCATTCCCTGAAGTCTTAGCCAGTTAGCAGGTCTCTCTGGTTGCCTCCCATCCTTAACCAAGTTGATTTGGTAGATGTGGTTCTCTGGACAGTGTCCCTTCCCTCCTTCCTGACTCACTGCAGCAGGCTCTTCCCTCTCAGAGCTGCCAGGTCAGTTAAAACCAACCTTTCCAAGCAGAGTCGTATCACTCTTTACTAAAGACATACTGTCCTATGAACTACAGTCTTTGCAGACACTTGTGGTTCTGCTGACTCCCCGGCTCCCCTGCTTTTTTATTTTTTTTTCTTTTTTACCCTCACTCCTTCACAAACCAGCTCCCTTTCTAAGCCCAGGGTTCCCTTTGCCTCCTTCTTTATTTTTCTCATCCTTCTGGCCGATCTTGATCATTTCTATTTAAGCTTTGAGTCTTAATGAATACAGTACATTAGTTCTACAAGGCTATCCATTTAAACAAAAGTATTGGAAATATAAGTTTATTTACATAGAAGGTACAGGATATCAGGTAGATAAGGCTAATTTTATAACACCAAAAGTAGATATGCAGCAAATTTTCTAATCTATAGCAACAACTAAGCAATAGCAATTATTATCTAAACTACAGGTTGCAGCTAAACCTTTCTTTACCTGAGACATTGGCAATTCAGAATCTGGCTCCTGGAAAACATAAAGAAGGTAGCAAACATTTTTTTTAAGAAATACAGTTTCTAAAATAAAAAGTCTTAATGACTAACCAAACATTTGTAGGTAAACTATAACTCATTCAATAAAGATCCAAATATTAACTTTAGTCTTTCTCTACAAGTGCTTGCAAGAGTTCTGTAATATACACTGAAGAGTCCTAAATTTTCTATGGTCATAAAATTCTAATTACACTAAGTTCATTCAGAGCACAAAGAAAGATATCTTAACTACTTGTGTAATGAAGACACTATCTCAGAAATTAAGAATAACTTTATAACTACACCAAAGAAGTATTTCCTTATATTCAAGAATAAGTTCATGGTAGTTAAAACACTCAGACTTTGTTCACTTAGGGAAAAGGAAAATCCAAATAATATAAACCCTTCTATTCCACATAAATATAATGGGATTTATGGCTGACAACAACAAATTAATTCTGACTGTAATGTCCTCCAAGAGATTTTTATAAATAAACTACATAATATACACTGGTGCCAGATGCTAAGCTCAGCATCTGAGGGTTTTTTTCTGTACAAATTAAATAGAAACCCATCAGTAAAAAAAGTCACACTTAAACCAAATTTATTTATAAAACATCTACACTTACATGGTCTGTATAGTCAGCAGCATCTGTTGAGAACTTAATCTGTAGTATATTTTACTGGGGAAACTACCAAGAAACAGAAAAAGGAGAAAAAAAAAAAAAGAAAAAAGAAAAAGATCCTTGCTTTCTATGGCTCTAAATCCAAAAAGAATACCCCAAATATTTTTTAAAGAATATATTATCAGTGCAAGTAATACGCAAACCCTGTGGTCACCACAAGGATAGGCAATTTATTTATCATGACACATGGTAGGCATGTGAAAGGAAAAGGCTAAGCTAGGCTAGAAAATGAAGGCCCCAGAAGATGGGATTTACAGAAGATTTGACAATCAACTGAACCAAACGCAAAAGAGCAACTAGAGAACACATAGCAAGTATAGTTTTTCAATTCCAGTGTGCATGAGAAGGATCTGGAAAAAGCACAGATTTCCTAAACACAGCCCATACTTAAGGAAATTCACTGATACAGGAATGAGATGGCAGATGAAAGCAGTAACCTTCTCTGTTCTTTCTTCTATTTATTTGTGTACATATCTGTATGGCCCACCATCTCATTTGAGCCTCATAACAACCATCTGAGGGAAGCAGGCAGGAATTATTATCCATTTTACAGTTAAGGAAACAAATTCAGAGATGTGAAGTAATTTGTTCAAAGTCACACAAATGGTTGAGGGAAGCAGGTGCTCTTTCATGCCAGTATCTCAAAAAAAATGAGTTGGAAATAGTAAGGCAGACTGAAGGGTAAAGTTTAGGAGAGATACAACGTAAGTCCAATATAGAAATCACATGGGGTGGAGGTGGGGGGGTGTTTACCAGAGGTGATTACAGACAATGCCTGAAAAGGAAAACAGCTAAAGGACATGGAAGCTACTGATACTAAGTAAAAGCTGGAGGCTTGTTATTCTGCCAGGGGCAGGTAGATTCCTCCAGTGGCCCAAGCTGAAACCACTAGCTCAGCCTCAGAGGATTCTGTACACTGATGAAGGTCTTTGTGATCTTCACTGTGCAGGTGAAGAACGTGGCGTATAGGGAAATGATGTGACGTCATCACGTGACTATGAAGGTCAGAGAAGAAATGGAGAGGCCTAGAGAGTGGGGAGGTGTAGAGAGAGGCGAGGGATTATGTGGATGGAAAATGGAGACCAGGCCTTAGAGGGTATGAGGTAGAGAACACATGAATTCCACAACATTCTCCTGGCACCCAGCTAGGTGCTGAAAACATTCTATGAGGGAAGGCACCTAGTTAAATACATTACAATACAATGTGTCGATTGCTATACTCACATTATGGACAAATTATAGACAACTAAGGTGGAAGGAAGAAAAGCAGAAGACACGGGAGATAAGGGAGTCAGAGAAAAGGGAAATTATTCTGGAAACTATCGAGTGTCAATGATTTATGAACTATATTCAACATCCTTTTCACTGGATATTTTCCTCACAAATGCTTTCCAGATTACCAACAATCTTTTAAGAAGAATATAAATGTCAGAATCCTACATGCAAATATCTCTAGCTATATAGAGACAATAGCAGCTACCATTTTTTATCACTTACCATGTAATAATGAAAACCCTTACAATAACCCTTTGAGGTATAGGTATATTATCATCTCCATGGACAAATGGAAAAAACTCTAAGGTCAAGGTGTAGAGGCAGTATTTGAACCTAGAAACTCTGGGTCAAAAGCATCCACTTTGCTGACTACTGCAGGATGTGGGGAGACCAAGGACAGGCATGGCTCTCTGGAGATCCATCAATAGCAGGACTATGAAGGAAAAGAGTCAGGATGTTTTAATTTGGAGATGGGGCAAAACTTTTTTTAAAAAAATCACTGAGGCCTTCATCTTTGGGTCTCTCTCAATTACAGTTTTGTTATTTAAATTAATGCACCCATATAGGGAACAACAAGTTAGGTTCACTTGGTCTAGCAAACTGTTTCTACAGGTATCAACACCCTAAAGTCAGAAGATCTGGGCTCCTCAGGGAGCCACTTAGCTGCGTGACCTTGAACGAGTCATACAACATTCATTACCTTGGAGCAATATTACCTACTTCACAGGATACCTTTAAGGACTACTAAAACCTTGCATTTTTAAGACTACTTCAAAATTTTCAGAGTTCTTTCACATATACCATCATGCTTATTCA